CAACCAGATTTCTGTTCCCAGGGCGATGATCTAAAACAGATTGGAAAATGAGAGAAGGACACAGCAAGCTGTCTTTATGAAGTCAGCTCACTGGCCCATCTAGCTCAGTATTATGTACACTGACCGGCAGTGGCTTTCCAGGGTTTCAACAGTGAGTCCTTCCAGCTCTGCCTAGAGACTGTAGGGATTCAACCCCAGGAATTTTTGCACACAAAACATGTCTTCTGTCACTGGATTGCATAGAATGAGAGGGAGAGACAAAGGAAGATGATGGGCAGGTGCTATTTGGTTGCAGTCTGGAATGAGGAACTAGAGCAGTGGTGGCGAACCTGTGGCACGCATGCTACAGCGGGCACGCAGAGCCCTCTCTGTCAGCACGTGAGCCAAGTTGCCCCAGCAGCTGAGCATCGGATAACAGCGCACATAGGGGCCATGCGCACACTCAGAAAGTAGTGGTGCCAGGCGACAACGTCACAAGCCACAATTCATTAGCCACGACTTGTCCAAGCTTTCGCATCACTGATCAGTGCGCTGCCAAGGACACACATATATTTGCTTGGACTGGCTGAGAGTTGTTTCTTCTAAACTAAAAGCTCAGTTTTCAGGTTTTATTGTAGTGCTGCCACTTTGCAAAAAATAAGTGGGTTTTGGTTGCAGTTTGGGCACTCGGTCTCTAAAAGGTTCACCATCACTGGGTTAGAGTTAGAAAAACAAGGTGTCCTGGCATGATTTTGATGGTTGGAATGTGTTTAGAACGGGCAGATATGATGACAAGTGCAGAAAAGGCTACTCAAAGGAGGTTTTTTCAAAATCACCCTCTTTTCAATGGAACTTTACCCCCATACTAGGGTTAGGGGAGTGGTGATGAATCTATGGTACGCATGCCACAACGGGTGCGCAGAGCCCCCTCTGTCGACAAGCGAGCCAAGTCGCCCCCGCAGCTGAGCATCGGATAACAGCGCACATAGGGGCCATGCGCATGCTCAGAAAAGTAGTGCTGCCAGGCGATGATGTCACAAGCCGCGACTCATTAGCCATGACTCGTCCGAGCTTTCGCATGGCTGGTCAGTGCGGTGCCAACCGGCTGTGAATTGTTTTTTCTAAACTGAAAGCTCAGTTTTCAGGTTTTATTATAGTGTTGGCACTCTGCAATAAATAAGTGGATTTTGGGTTGCAGTTGGGGCACTTGGTCTCTGAAACATTTGCCATCACTGCTCTAGAGTGTGGGAATAGTGTACTGTCTCTTTAAGAATTGCTGTGTATCTATTAATGTTAACATAGCCCTGGTGAGTTATATGGGGCTATTTGCTTACTCAGAGATCTATTAATGAACACTGCAACACAACATTACATACAAAATAAACCTCTTATCAACAATTTCATAACAGAACAACACAAACAATTATAATAACAACAACAAAAGATTACAACCCATGCCCCCAGGACCCTGGCAACGTCACTGATACAAAAGCTGCCCATAGACCTGCAAAGTTCAAGTGTCTTTTTGAATCCAAACTCAAAGAAAAGAATCCAATATACACTGTGTCCTCTTCAGCTGGCCCAAGTATCCACAACACAGAAGAGTCAGCTCCACAGGGAGAATCATCAAAACCCTGGAATAAAATGCCAGTACAATTGTATGTGCATTAATTCACTATGTAGGTTCACCCTTCCAACACAAACATGTAGGAATTATATCTAGACCAAGTCGGCAAGGGCCTCAGTGGCAACAGCACCTCCTGCCTCTTCAGCTTTCCTGCTTTTTCCATTCAATATCTTACCACCCCGATCTTTCTTATTTCTACCCCTTTGGGCTGAACCAATAGTTCATAGGGGTTACATTAAAAGGAATGCAGTGAGCCTAGGAGGGACTTACAGTAGGGCTTTTTGCCATTCCTGTAGTGCCTGGCTCATTGGCACCTCGCTTGATGCACAGCCCAAACTTCATGCTACTTCTGCGGTTCTATTCTGTATTTCTTCAGAACATCAACATCACGGCTTTTTATAGGTTGTATTTTCCTGTGTTATATATTCCTGCACCTGCTAAACTGCAGCACTGTTCTGTGGGGAGAAGGGGCGTCTTCAGGAGGGTGGGACTGGTGCTGCAGAAACCCTTTCCAGTCTCTCCGTTCAGGCCTTGCTCTTCCCGAGGTGCCACATCTGTTTGGGCTGCAATGAATCGCACTGTGGAAGGTGGCTGCTTGTTTCTGCATGGAGACCACCACACAGTGACGGCGTGCAAGTCGGTGGCACAGTCTGTACTCTACACACATTCACTGAGCTCACTTTTTGACCAAGTGAATGGGGCTCTGTTTTTACGTGGAGGGAATGTTTTGTGTTTAGCAGTGTTCAGTCACATGGGCCTCCTACTTGCAGTTTAATGTGCTTTAATGGGTTCCTACTGTGACCTCAGTACAAATTAGCTCTAAGCATGGCTCTTCTGCATGACATCTAAAGGGAAAGAAACATATTATTCCTCTCTAACAATACAAAACAGGCTAATCATTGGTTCCTGAAAAGTGCAGGAACAATCCTGGTGTATTTAAAAGCTGAGAGTGCTGGGCTGGGACTTGGGAGATCCTGTTTGGTGCTTGCTCAGCCATGAGCTGACTGGGTGACCTTGGGCCAGTCACAGACACAGCCCAACCTACCTCACAGTATTGTTGTTGTGAGAATAAGATTGAAAGGAGGAAGAGAATTATGTGAGCTGCCTTGAGTTCCTCAAAAGGAAAAACAATGGGATAGAAATAAAATAAATGTAATAATAAACTCCAAGTATTCTATACTCTCTGTCATTACCAGGGATTAGAATCTTCAGTTAGACACCTGTGTTGAAAGAGTAAAGATAACATCTTTTTTGACACTTCTTGTGTAATGCTGTGTCTGTTTAGATAGAAAAAGTCCTGTACTTCTCAGCATTCCTGGACAGGGCTTTTTTCTGTCTAAATGTGTGTAGGGTTGTCCACATTGAACATAATTAGATTTAGATTTCCCTCTTAGAAAACATGTAAAGGATTACATTCTTTATTCCTTGGAAGTAAATCCATTTGCATCAATGGAACTTTATTTTTGAAATCCCATTCCAGGTAGTATATGTGGATTACTTACCTCAGTTCTAATAACAGTATTAGTGTGGTTTAAGCATGAGATCTTAAGTAATAGTAATGGGACTGAGTATTCATGACTAAGATCCCATGCTTCAGTGATGCGGATTGCAATTTGTGAGTGCAAAGGTATAGGATGATAGCCTATCAGTGCAATTTTATGCATGTGCACTCAGAAGAACCACTAACCACCAAGCTGGTGTACAATTTAAAACAATACAACAAATGGTGAAGCAATAAAACACTAAAAACAGTAAAAGTATCTAAAATGCACTTACCAGGGAATAAACCCCATTGAACTCAGTGGCACTTAGACTGCGGCTCTAAAATAAGATTGCACCCTAAAATAACTCGCATAAAAGGATTTGTGGAACGTATGTATCCTCAGACTTACAGTCGAAACACTCTTGAGTAGCCACGCTTACTGAATTGCACAACTGCGAGCTTGAGCCCATGTAACTCTGCGGGAAGGTGGTGCACCATGAGTCAAGCAAGGAAATTTCTTAACGTTTGCAGCCCCCCGTGCCGTGAAGCAGCTGCAAGGCGAGGGCTAGCTTGGGCATGTCCCGTTATGTGCTGTTGCATTTCACGGATGTGGAAACAGTTTTGGCTCCACTCTCTACAGTTTCCTTCATATACCGAGAATGTGACGTCATTATCCCTAAAAACGACTCTCGTGGAAGCGCGCTGCTAAGGATGCAATCCTATGCGCGTTTGGACAGAAAAAGACAACCAAGGTTTGCGCCTTGACCATTTTAAGGTGCTTCAAAACGTGCTGTTTATTTCAGCGGACCCGGCAACAGGTTACACCTACGTTATGTATGGAATGAAGCTCGGACTTCTCTCTCTCCTCGGCGTTGGAATTTGGGGAGGTTGCTCGAGCTATTGTACCATCTTGCGAGGGAGGGGGGACAACAACACCGAGAAGGTTTTGTGTTTGTTCTCGCCCGGGCTTTACTTTTTGACCTTCGTCTAATCCGTGCCTCAAGCAGCCTGCACAGAAAGAGGGGGCGGGGGCAGGTAAATTTCCTCCCGGCCACACAGGACCGCCGTCTCCCCCCGCCTCTCCCGCGCCACCCCGGCACGTGATGGGGACCTGTGACGCCGGGCCGCGCGGTGCCCGGGAGCGGGTGGGGCGGTGCTTTCGGATTGGCAGCAGAGGCCAGGAGAGGGGAGGGCGAGCGCGCGGACGGAGGGGGCGGAACGGAAGGAGGAGGAAACGGCGGGTGCCCTTCGTGGAAGTGTCGTGTCGCGTGCCGGAGCGGAGCCGCGCGACCTGGACCTCCCAATTCCGGTGAGGAGGGGGCGCCCTTTCATCTGGGAAAGGGGCGGGAACGGCGGGGGCGCCTGGCCGAAGCGCTCTGAGGCGCGGACTGTTTCCTCGCCCTGTGGGGAGGGGGCGGTGCGAGGTTCGCGGCGGGTCCCCCCCTCTCCCTCCAGTCCATCTGTTTGCGAGATGGAGGGACGGCCAGCCAGAATGGCTTCCCCGCAGCCTCTATTCGCTTCACTTTTTCTCAGGATCACACTATTGTGACCCGCGTGAATTAAGCCAGAGCCACTGTCCCTGTCCGTGTTTCCGTCACTAAGACGGTCACGGATTCCCTTCCTCACGGAAGAGGCGTATTGAAAGGGCTGTGTGTCGAAACCCACCTTCCCGGCAGCGCTTTTAGACCCTGCTTGGATGGACGAGGCGCGCATTTAAAGGGCAGCTAATGGTCAGTCGTGTGGGCACTGTTTTAAATGTGTGAGGCTTGATACTTTGTGGGCGATCTGGGTGCCTTTGGCAGGTTCCCCATGGCAACATTGTGGGGTTGTGACAGAAGAGGTTTCATGATTAATATCGAATCCCTATAGAGGAAGGATGTGTGTGTGTCTTGAAGGTATAGCCGTTTCTCTCTTGGACGGTCTTAGAAAAAGTTTTCTTGAACTTGCGTTTGGATATGTGGAAGAATGTATGCTCACTTTTGCTTCTCTATAATTATCTGGTAACTCTGTGTGTGCATAAGGAGTAGGTTTAAAAGAACCGTATACTCATCCCTCTCCTGATTTAGGCCCAATTTCAACTAATCGACAAGTGCAACCTGCTTCCGGAAATATGCAGGACCTAAGTTTTAAGACGTCCCCACGGGGAGTCTTTCTTTCTGCCTCAGCAGCCAATGGTTGGTTCATGCCCGGAAGCTTTACTGTTTATGCTGTAAATACACCTTGGGATCGGATGCCACCTTTCTGCCTTTTCCCAATTCATCTCGAACAGTTTCTTGTGTGGGGAATTGTACCAAAATGGGAAAGCTGTAGTATGATTTGCTTTTGAAGTAAAAACATGATTTGGATAGAGAGCTGTTTGTGCTCTGCATCTCGGTATGCATAATCTATATAGCATTTACTGATAGTTTACCAAATAATTAACACTTAGGATAAAATAAGACTTATAATGTAATTTCATTTCACTAGGTAAGATAACTTGGGGTGTCTCTTTAGGGGAAAATTTTATTTACTAGTCTGAGTGGAAGGTCTGCATTCTCAATGTCCTGCTAATTACCTGTGTAGGTCTTAAACTGGTTTAGACTCAGTCTTGTTTTAGTCAGCGTAAATGTATTAGCCACAGATTTTTCCTAGCTATTTATAGTTGTTGATTCTAGTCAGCACCCTAACAAAATAGCAGAGAGAGGCAAGTAGCTGATACATTGCATGGACTGAAGTGAGTTTTTGATAGTCAAAATAGGCTTTTACAGTTGTTTCATATTTAAGCATGTGGCACTTTTAGAAATTGGTACACTTGCATCACTAGTTGACTTTCAAGAAATTTTAAAAGGTAAGCTTGAGCTTTCATTTGAAGAAAGACCAAATTGTTGAGTTATGGCATGTTCAGATAGGATTAGAATGGCATTTTAATGGATACCTGCTGTCTTTGCTTACCATCTGTGGGTTTCTTATCTTTATGCTTATTATGAAACTAATTCATATCAAATTGAGTACAAATGAGTCATGCAAACTGTCAAGCAAACTTATTCTGATGAAATTTTAGCATGTGAAATTGATTTACTGAGAAAATGTGAAGGGAATGTTGTTATGAAAATCATGACTTGGCGTTGCATGGCATGTTTGCTTTTCTCCATGGTGACTAGAAATGTTGCTATTTTTTTCCAGATGACTCCTTTGTACTTGATTTTTGTCAGAAATGTTGATCTTAACCATGCAGAGTAATGCTGGCCTTTTGTTTTGCATTCTTTTTCTGGACAAAATCCTGGCCCTAAGTGAGATTGTATAGTATTTATCAAAATCTTTATAAAGAACAGCGTTCTCATTCCATGGAGATGCATTTTGTTCTCATACGTTAATGTACCCAGAAACCATGGGCTTAACGGAAATGTGCTTGAATTAAAGCTTGTTCCTGAGATGCTGACAAGTCACAACCTAAGAGAAAACATCTATTGTGCTGCAGACATTTGGCTGGGTTTTACTTCATCTGGCCTTCAGTTGGTAAGAACTTATGACAGTGGGGATCTAAATGTCCTCCAATACGGCTTCAATGACTAACTTTGTTTGTCTCACAACATCATTAATGCGTTCATTGCAGCTGTAGGGAATAATGTTTGCCAGCCTGAGAGTCTGTGGTATAAGAACCAAATGACTGTACTGTTGTTTTTTTGGGTTACATAAATAGTAGTAAAGTTTTGTCAATTTTGATGAGACTGAAATTAGACCATGCTAAACACAATTAAAAGGGTTTTTTAGTCTAAACTTTTAGCACTGCATTATATTAACAGAAAAAAAGTTAAATTATAATTGGTATTAAACAGTTTCCAGGGAGGGAGCAAGAAATGTATTTGATACACAAGCACAACTATTCTTTGTACTTACTGTTCTTTAACATGCCAAAGATGCATGTGTTCCTTTTGAGAGTGCTAAGGCAGTTGCTACTTTAAAAATCAGAGTAGTAGTGCTGTAAAACTAATTTCAGACCTTATTCAGCCTTCCTTGCCTTGCATTGGTTTGGTGAAATGTGTGGGTTTTAATGTCATGATACTTTGCTTTCATTGCCTCCTACATTGCATTTATTGTTTGAAAAGTGCAAAATACTGTATGATGCAGTTTACTGCATTAAAAACACTGGATTCTTATTCTTACAGGACAGTTCTATGCATGCCTAAAATTCTATTCATGTCAAGTACCATTGAGTTCAATTGGACCTACTCCTGGGATTAGCTTTATAGTCTTATTATGCTGATAATATTGATGGAGCATGTTTCCTTTTTTCCCCCTTTCCCCCTCCCTCCTCCCTCCTCTCTTCCCACACTGGCTACAGCAGGTTATGCTTACTTCAGTGTACCAAAAACAACTTTTGCGAAAAAGCATCTCAGATAAGGGTTTTGTGACATAGCCAGCACATATGAAATTGCATGCTCCTTTCAGGAGTTTGTGCATGTAAGTATTGATTGACTGTATTTATATCCCACTTTTTTATACCATTTTTATCCCACCTTTTTTTGTGAAAGAAACCTAAAGCGGTTTACCTAATTCTCCTCTTGATTTTATGCTCCCCACAACCTTGAGAGGTTAGGCTGAGAGTGCTTAGTTTCTCACTCACATGCACTGAGGCTCAAGGTGGTTATGTGTTGCTTATGTATTTTGTGGATCAGCAAACCAAGTTTTTGGATATTGTTGTTGTTGTTATTATTATTATTATTATTATTATATTTCTACCATGCCTGTAGCTGAAGCTCTCTGGGCAATTAACAGCATTTAAGTTGCCCATCCAGATTTCAACCAGACCCAGCCCTACTTAGCTTCCAAGATTAGGCAGGATCAGACTTAGTGTTACATGCAAGCTTGGCCAATGTGTTTCTTTCTTGGGAAGTTGCTCAGCATTTGAATTTGTATTCATTCAGCTAGACAAATGTGGAGGTTGTAGATAGGCTAGTTTCCTGTGTTTCTGTAGCATCCTTCTCTCATGATGATATGAAGAAAATTAAAGTGATAGGTAGAAATCATTTATACAAGCAGATGGTGGTTAAATTACTAATTATTTGTGCTGCCTCAGTGTTAGCATTTCTTGATAGGACACACATTCTTTCTTTCAGAGCATTTTAACTCCTCATCTGCAAATTAAGGTCACAGTTCAGCAAGGTTCTCCATATGCCTCTGGTGGAGATGCAGTGAGTTGTGCATGTGCAGTACCCTCCCCCCATTAGCACTTTCTTTCCTCTGTGCCATATCACAGTTTGCTGGTTAAACTTAAAGATACCTTTAAGGAAAAAATAACTTTGAATGTAAAATAAAATGAAAAATAACTAATGATGCAAGGTACAGATATGGAGTCTCAAGTCACTTGCACATTATTCCCTGCACTTCCGTAGTTCATGGAATAGATCTGGTCGTACCAATCCATGTAGCTTTTTCCTGATTCCTACCTGTCAGATACTTGCTTCTGCATCTCTAGTCGTACCTTAAGAATTTACGGAGTGGGGTTACTGAAGAATATTGTTCCAGTCCAAAGAAATTTACATTTGGAAGTAAATTTCAGGCGTTAGTCACTTGTGGGCTCAGGAAATGCATGTATAAGTCTGTTGTCTGTTTGTTCTGCATTGTATTCATTAGGATGCACATTGAACAGAGTTGTCATCCTGAAACAGCAAGCCCTATCTGTCTAGAGCTGGTTTGGTTTGTCTGTATTTACATATCTCTAATTCTCCGCTGCTACTAGTTGACTGGTTCAAACATAACACTAAAACAAAGGTATGTGACTGAGTCTTGAAGAATGGAAAGCATGCATCTCAGAGAAAGCATGCTTCCTCTTTTCTCTGTTACATGCTGCCGTTCCTTTCCTGGCTTTAGGCATATCATAGTTGCTGTTTGATCTAAAGACAAGTTACCATGCCAACCAGGTTTAGAAGCAAGGGTCAAACTCTGGTTTGTAGGAGAAGGGCAAACCATTGCCTGGGTCCAGACAAGACATCTGTGCTTCTTGTGGGTTATATAACCCATGGTTGCATATGTAGCCCTCAACAACAATGCTTACATAATTCTAAAACAGGCCAAGAGTTGTTTAACACTTGTTAGATTTGCATAACACAACAACCCCTGAGTAGGGGTTGAATATTTAGAATGGTTGTCTATGAACCTTGGCTGTTTGGGTTCATAAGCTGGCCCTCCTTGGGCATTTGACATAATGCAAGATGAAGCCACGGTGGGCTATTGTTTTGTGCTGTGCAAATCAGGTCATTGTCTTGCAGGATTACTGGAGGATTTTGCAAGATCTTGAAAAAAGAGTAATTTATAATTGTAGGGCAGTTAAGAATGCTTCTTTCTCTGCTCTTACTGTTTCCACTTGGTGCACAAGTGGTACACTTAAGAATGTACTCTTTGCATTTTTTATTTATTTTAATCTTTTATCATGTCTTATTATATGAACACTCATTAAACATATCTTTTTGGGCAGCTTAGAGAAGTGAGAGTAAAATGCAATATTAATATATAATATTATACTTAAAATGCAACAATACAAGTACAAAGTAAATTATTAATAATACTTAAATTCCTCTACTGTCCAGAGATCTCTGGGTAGTATACCACATCTAGCAGTAAAATAATAATCAGCAACTCAAGTCTTGAAAAACATTTTTAAAAAATCCTGAAGGTCATGGCAGAACAAAATAGTGAAAGTGGTATGTAGAATCTTGGAGCCCAAAGTGTTAAAGCCAGCACTGTTAAGTGTGCTAAGAATGTGATGGTAAGCCATTAATCTAAAGTAACCCATCTTTGTTTAAAGTGGGACTGTCAGTTTTTTGTACTCACTGAAACTTGTGGGCAGTCCGGGGTGAGCATTCTGGCTTCTCAGTAGCACTGTCTGCGCCTCCTCTTTCAGCTTCGGTCCATTCTTGTTACAGATAACCATGCCCTGGTTATCTGCTTTCTGGTAAGCTACAGATTGGACAACTGTAATGCATTGTATGTATGGCTGTTTGAAGATGGTCCAGAAACTGCAGTTAGTACAAAATCCAACTGCTAGGACACAAACAGCTATCAGTTGTTGGGAATATATTTTCCTCTTTTGAAAAAAGTTAGTATATTGGACCATTGCTGAACTCAGTTCAGAGCGCTGGTTTTCAGCTTGAAGCATTGCATAGCTTGGAGTGTGGTGAAGGATTATCTGGTTTCATATCAATTTGACCTTGTGTCATCTTGGGGGGACACTTCTCCAGGTGCCTCCGCTAACTGAGCTGAGGTGGATAATGACTGGGAAGCAGGCCTTTCCTCTCTTGGTACTTCACTTATGAAACACTGATTTGAGGGCACTGGCTTGGCCCACTTTTTATGTTTTTGAGCTTTAACTGGTTTCATTGCTGATTTTGATTTGCTGATTTGGTTATTAGTTTGTGATTGCTAACCAACTTGTACTAAAAACTAGGGTAGAAATCTAAGATAAATAAAAATAGTGAGATAGAAATTAAATGTAAATTTAGCCAAGGCTTAATATAGAGTAGGGGTCAGTAATTTTTTTGAGCCTGTAGACACATCTGGAATTTTGAGAGTGTCATAGGCACTCTCACAAAATGGTTGCCATGTTTGGTGTCGCCAATCACACAACACCCATTTTCCAGAAGATGAACTGGTGAGGCTGAGAACCTTGTCTGGGATCTAAAGTGTCCTAAGATGGGTCTGAATTCCAAACATAGAAGGACTGTTTTGAATGCACCCTTTATTGCCCCAACACCCATCTCATAGAAAGCAAACTAATGAGGCTCAGAGGCTAGTAAATTGGCCAAGAAACTGAGTACAGAACTGAAGTTGGGTCTAAAGTATAAATAGGAAATTGCCTTTCTGGTCCTACAAAGGATAACAAAATACATATTTCACAGAGGGCAAAATTGGTGATGCTCAGAGAAAAACACATACATACCAAGCCAAACCCACTTATCCACACATATACTCTGGCAAAGTGCATGTCTGTCAAAACAAAGGTACAAACAAAACCAACTGACTGCCCTGCACATTGAAAAAACTACCCTACTCCTTGTTCCTTGAAGTTTATTTTTTATCTTTTTACTTAGTACTGAACATGTTTCAAAATGATCCATTAGATGCAGCCACCTGCCATGTCTAAGATTCTTACTATGGACCTGATGGGGTTTAGCAACATTCATTGAAATACAGATGGCACTGGAGGACAGTATTTTGCTTTGGAGCATGCCAGCCTCCCACTTAAAAACATCTAAAACTATTTTAAAAGTTCAGACGAGTCATGGAACCTGTTGGATGACAAGAGAAATATCTGTTGAGAATCCCAATGATAGAGCAGAATTTCTGAAGTGAAGCAGATTTGCATGTAAGCCTTTAAATCTCTAACCACTTTCAAAATGGATTGAATTATGTATTTTGGGAATTTACACACATTATAGGAAGCTATATGTGGGGGAAGATTTGGGAAAACATAGTATCTACATAGATACTGAGAAAGCAATAGCATACCAAAGTTGTTATGGCAGTATTGTAGAATGTCACCTTATTCAAGCTTTATCCTGAGTGTAGGGGCTTGCTTAAAAGAGGTTGTCCATAGAGCTCATGCTAATGTTAAATATAAGCATGAATAGATAACAATATTTAGATAACAGTGATTTGTGATATTGGTGGAGCAAGTGAAGTTATGGAAAGAGGTCTTAATCACCAGTGAACTCAGAAAAATCCATTGAGGCTCAAAGTCAAGTGAGCAGATGATGACAGGAAAAATAAGCAAAACAATAATTCCCCCCCCCCCCCGATTTAATAATACCTGAGGTAAATAAATCCTCTACGTAAGCAAGAGATTGTCTCGAGCTAAATAAAGACCTGATCCATTTTGCTAAGTAACTGAAACAATAGGCTTAGTTTCTTCTTCTTTGCCTGTTATCTACTAACAGGTATGTATGCTCTAAGAATTTGTTACAATATCTAGGGTGCAATTCTATGCATATTTAGTAAGGAAAAAGAATTCTTCAACTCCCTACTTTCCCTGCTAGCTGTATAGTAGGGCTTCATTGTGTCTAAATATGCATAGAATTGTAGCCTTAACCTATTACTTTACACCAATATGATCAATGGGCAAAAAGTTATAGTTCTGTGCATACTTCAGCAGATTCATTTGTGTCAACTTCCTAGCATTAGAATGCAATGATTTTGAAAACAAAGGATAAATATAAGAACAGACTTAGTTGTTCAAAACTTAGAAACAGGGCAGGAAAAGGTGTATAAAAATAAATTATTTTTTTAAAAACCAGATGTTTTTGATTTAAATTGGATATTTTAAAATAAAATGCTTTTTGACAAAAATCTACCTAAAGATAGTTTTCTATTTAAGATACATTATAGTCCAAAGGTTATTCATCATGAAATAAGGATTAGTTTTTAATTATGTAGCATGAGGCTGTATATTCATGAAAAGTTTACATTTTTTGGTAAATGAATTCCAGTAACCTATTTACAATGTCATGTTCTTCCACAGGTTTCTGTAGGATTATTGGGCAATTTTTCTGTCTAGAAGGTATCACAGATGGTTGGTTTTACAGTTCTCAAATTTGTGTCTACAGAGATCACATGGCTCTTCTTTGCTGGAAAATTATTATAAAATAAACATGCAGAAACAGTCCCATTGTTTCTTTGCAAATCTATGTACACAAAACCAATCTCCTACTTCTTAAGTGCAACGTTTCAAAAAATTCAATGACTAGAGGAAGATTGTTGGGCATAGAATAGATCTGCACAAGGAGCTAAGTGTGAGAAGGCAGAAGCAAGCAGTAAAAATGAAAGTAAAACCTTTTGAGCAGAACACTCCACAAGTCTTTGGCACTTTGTGTGTATAGTCTGATGTTTATCATATACAGTGGTGCCTCGGCTCACGAACACCTCAGTTCACGACCAAATTGGGTCGCGAACAGAAATTTCAGAAAAATTTTGCCTCCACATTGGGTGACAATTGTGATCGCGTCTGTCTCCCCCACCCCAAGTGGGCCCGTGATTGCACCCGTATATGACCGCGCTAGTGGTCGCGCTCGTGCAGGGAACACGGGTGTGATTGGGGTCGTGCTTGGGGGAGGGGGAGATGGCTGCAACCTTTGTTGTTTTTTGTCACTTTGTTTCAAATTTTTGTGATTAAAAAAATGGTTACAGAACGGATTAACCTTATTTACATTGAACCTTATGGGGAAATTTGACTTGACTCACAATCAATTTGGGTCGCGACCCAAACAGATTAAGTTCATGAGCCAAGGTACCACTGTAGTACTTTCCCTGGAGGAGAAAACCTATAATGGAAGCAGGCCGTAAAGGAGATCCAGTTTGGGGATATTTGAATGAAGTTCCTCTACCTACGGGTAAGGCAGGCATCTGTGCAAGTTATGTAGAAAACCATGATTTAAAATTACCCTTACTGACTAGTGATTTAAATCATGATTTAAATCGAATTCACCTTGGGGCAAGATGGCTCTGAATATGGGTTCTGATTAAAGATGTGTGGTAGAAGATTGTCCATGGAAATATTATTGATTATAAGAAATCATTGATTGTAAGATTATAAGAAATCTTATTGATTATAAGATATTGATTATATCTAGCCTTCTAGGCATAAATGCTTTCAATGTGGCTTACAGGTAAAAATAAGCAGTATTAACAGGTAATCAGGATACTTTGCACAGGGCAGTTGATGGAATATGGTTGTTTTGCTTATTCATGGGAAATTATCACTGTTTAAGAAATGCATTGTTTCATAAAAGAAGTTGAAGTGAACAACTAGAATGGATATAATAATAGCGAAAATGGAAAATAAAAGTTGTAATCTACACATCCCACCATGTGACTAACCATAGGAGCCACACAGATTATTCTAACATTTTGGGCATACTAAAATTTGTAGGATGCCAGTTGTAGTGCTTCATTTTCCCCTTAAAATCCAATATAAGGGAAGTGTATGTTACTGAGTTGTCATGTCTTGAAATATTTTCAAGTATTCCAATTAAAATATTGATATTTTATATTCAGTAAAATAAATTTCAACATTTTTGAATTTGTTTAAATGTAGCTCTTAAAACTGCACAAGTATACTTCATTGATTTTTCTCCCCTGTCAGTTATTTCGGTAGTTCAGTTCAACTACTTTTGGGTTTTGGAAAAACTTTCCAGATACTTGTACTGCATGTAATTAACACATTTCAGTTCTGCTTAATACAGGACAAATATGTTGGATTGAATCCCCATTAACCTAGAGTAGGTTAAAAAAATCTGGTTCAATATTTTCTAGACAATTCACATCAGTGTGTCTAATTGTGGGAATTTTCTGCAAAAGATCCATCTGCAAACTATGCCTAACTGACATGTCCAAAATTGGTCAATAATTTTCTAGCTGAAATTTATTAGGTGATTGTCTGGTAATATGTGTCTGTTGTTTCCCCCCCCCCCCCCCCCCACAGCTCTGCTAAGAAACAGGAGAAAGAAACATCATAATGTGGCTCACCTTTCACCTGGAAACGTGAATATAGCTTTAAAAAAAGATGGCCGACAAGAGTGGAAAAATTATTCCAGGTCCATTATACATTGAAGTTGAATATGACTATGAATATGAAGCAAAAGACAAAAGGATTGTGATAAAACAAGGGGAGAGATACATCTTAGTGAAAAAGACTAACGATGACTGGTGGCAAGTCAAAAAGGATGAAAATTCCAAGCCCTTCTATGTTCCAGCACAGTATGTCAAAGAAGTAACTCGCAAAGCACTGATGCCGCCCAATAAGCAATTGGTTGGAATGCCAAACAGCTCTCTAAAACTTATGCATGGGTTACAGAGGTCAACAGAAAATGTGAATAAATCTCCAGAGCTTTCTAGTTTTGGAAAATCATCTCCAGTTCAAGTTTCTGGCCTAGTTCGGGATGCCAATCAGAATCTGGGACCAAGCAGTAGCCCAGGTCAGAATACTGGTCTGAGCATGGACCTTGTCCCCAATAATGGGAAATTTATTGAGTTACAGGTTCCCAAAGTTTCCAATCAGAACAGAACCTTATCTATGTCCCACTTTCCTTGTTCTGAATGTATGGAAATAGAAAAGACCAGTTTCTTGCAAGAACAGTCCTGTGACTCTGCAGGTGAAAGCTCAGAAAAAATCCACCAGGATTCGGAATCGGGAGATGAACTCAGCAGTAGTTCCACAGAACAAGTGCAGGTAAGATGAGATGTATTAAAATAAACAATCTTCCTCTTTCAAACACAAGATTTTATTTTTACACACCATTCCAGTAATAAACTGCTATATATGTTTTTTCCCCTCAGTCCTTAATTCCAAACGTAGGGTCCCAGAAACTAGAACTGTCCTTTTTTGTCAGACTTTTCTCTGTATGGATTAGAATGTTGAGTTAGGATACTTACTGTTGTCTTAAAGTGAGTTAAAATAGTTAATGTTTCTTTGGTTATACTAAGAATTTGTAGTTGACTTGTTTTTGGAAATGTTCTTTAATGTATGATTCCTAGGAAATTAATCCTCCTTAGACATGTGTTTGAAATAGGATAGATGATAGAAAATATTAGGGACCATTACTTCCTCTTGAGGCAGTTGTCATGGTTTAAGTTGTTCTTAAAGCTGTCAAACATGGAAATTGGTCAGCAGAGTGGAGTAGTATCAATATTCTGTAGCATCTCTTAGTAGATGCTTAGTGTTGAGTACTCAACTAGATGTACTTTTCTGTTTACTCTTGAGGTTCTTTGGTCATAATTTTTACCAGGGATGTGGAGTTGGTACATAAAACTTTGACTCCTTTATTTATGTATCAATATAGGAAATAAATATTCTAATATATTTCCTATATTGATTGAATGCACTCAGCCTGCAAGGAGGCATTTCATCACTACTAACATGAATCATCAGGCTTATTTCTTGAAACCTAACCTGTTAAAATATATCCTGAAAATGTAACCCGAAAAAAATAGGTTACTCGCATTATCTGTGAAATAGGAATTTTAACATATTATTTATATGACAATTTAAATTTATTAGGAGCTGGAGTCAGTACATTTTTACTGACTCTGACAATGATTCCAGTAAATGCTTCTGACTCCACGATTCCAACTCTGACTCCACAGCCTTGGTCCTTACTTACCTTCTAGGAATACGTTCTAAGCTATTCTATTACAGATATGTGCAGTTGATTTAAGCTGCTTTAAGAACATAAGAAAAGCCATTTTATATCAGATCAATGGACCATCCAGTCCAGCACTCTGTTTTCACACTGGCAAACCCGTTGCCCAAAGCATTGCTCAAACAGGTTAGGTATAAGAGTTCCAGCTGTCCAAGCTCCTCAACAACTGGTATACACAGGAATGCCTTTTTTATAATGGAGGTAAGCCATAGTCTTGACTACACACTTTTCTTGGCAGGGTGATGTCTCTGCTTTTTAGTATGCTGTCTAGATTTGCCATAGCTTTCCTCCCCAGGAGCAAGCTTCTTTTAATTTCTTGGCTGCAGTCCCCGTCTGTGGTGATCTTGGAGCCCAGGAAAATAAAGTCTGTCACTACCTCCATTTCTTCCCCATCTATTTGCCAGGAAGTGAGAGGACCAGATGCCATGATCTTAGTTTTCTTGATGTTGAGTTTCAAGCCAACTTTTGCACTCTTCTCCTTCACCTGCATCAAGAGGCTCTTTAGTTCCTCTTCACTTTCTGCCATGAGAGTGGTATCATCTGCATTTCTGAGGTCTTTGATATTTCTACCAGCAATCAGAGACATCACCCTGCCAACAAAAGTGCGTATAGTCAAGGCTATGGTTTTCCCAGTTGCAATGTATGGCTGTGAAAGCTGGACCATAAGGAAGGCTGAGCGCCAAAGAATTGAGGCCTTTGAAATGTGGTTCTGGCAGAGACTCCTGCGAGTCCCTTGGACAGCAAGGCGATCAAACCGGTCAGTCCTAGAGGAGCTCAACCTGACTGCTCTTTAGAAGTCCAGATACTGAAGATGAAACTCAAATACTTTAGCCACCTAATGAGAAGGATGGACTCCCTGGAGAAGAGCCTAATGCTGGGAACAATAGATGGCAAAAGAAGAAGGGGATGACAGAGAATGAGGTGGCTAGATGGTGTCACTGAAGCAGTTGGTGTGAGCTTAAGTGGACTCTGGGGGATGGTGGAGGACAGGAAGGCCTGGAGGAATGTTGTCCATGGGGTTGCGATGGGTCGGACATGACCTCGCAACTAACAACAACAACAAAACACACAGCAAGGCTAGTAGCTGTTGATAGGCTTTTACTCCATGAATTTACCTAATCCCACTTTAAATCCATCCAAATTGGTGTCCATCATTACTTCCTGTGGCAGAGACTGGTAGTTCACAATAAGCAGAAGCAAACTTGTTTCCTCTAGATCAAGCAGACCTAGGGATTTAAGTGCCAACTAGATTCATTGGAACAAGTCTCACACCTCCAATAAATCTTTCAATAATAACCATTGTTTGGCAGTAGTCAGCTGTGTAGAAATTAAGGGTTTAGCAAGCTGTTTGTAGGCTGTTTGTTACCAGAACATTAAGTTCCAAACTGAATATTTTTACCTTTAAAGTGTTAAGCCAAATGTGTGTGCATGCTGTACAGTTAACTTTAGATGATGATTGCCTTTCAGGTCAATTCATGGGTAGCTGGTGACATAATATAGTCTGGTACAGTCCGAAGGCTGTTTCAAAAAGAGCGGAGGATTTTATTGTATACTTTTTCAACCCAAAATAGAGGCTATGTTATAGCATATTATGATTGCTATAGTCCTGCTTTCTCTAGTTTCTTTGCTTGACCTTTCAAGTAATCTCTCAAATTTTAGTTATTAGTTTACAACTTACAGTAAATGTGTAGAAAGCATTTTTTGATGCTAGCAAAGAAAATGTAACCTCATGTTAAAACTGAGACATATTGAAGTGCCAGTGTATTAAAATATATAAATAACTTCTATACACTTATTACCTTTTCTGCATGAGCAGCTTGCAATTAAAGGATAGACTGGCATCCTTCGGACATCAGATTTTGTAATGACCAGGTAAAAAAATGTACTGATAATACAGAGAAGTTAACATCTGAAGGCTACTTTCTGAAGTTGTATTTTCTCTGTTAGAATTGCATTTATAATATATGTAAATAATGTTTACTATAATATATTTAAAGATGGTGTAAACATGCCATAGGGCTTGTTTCAATATGGAAGATCCAACATGGATGGGCTCACTATGAGTGAGATTTGCAGAAATATTGTTTTTGTTTTTTTCATGAGAATGTAGTGACTGTGTCTCTTAAATTGTGGGGGGACAGTGAATATTTAATAAATGAGTAATGGAAAAATTGTGAGCTTAAGTGGACTCCACGGGATGATGGAGGACAGGAAGGCCTGGAGGAATGTTGTCCATGGGGTCACAATGGGTCGGACACAGCTTTGGGACTAACAACAACAGTGAAACAATGCATATGCATGAATGCCTTTGCAAGTACATCTGGCCCAAGTTAGACTTGCATTGTAAAGTGACCCTTCCCCACTAGGTAAGAAATGCATTTTAGTGTAACAGTTCTTTAGACCAATAAAAAGATCACAACAAGTGCAAGCTTTCAAGATTTTAGATTTTTAATTTTTTCTTGTGAGTTTCAAAAACAAAAAAAGTAAAAATAAAAAAGTGTTTGAGTTTTGGAGTTATGATTTAAGTACTTAATGGCATCATGATGGTTGTGCTCTGTAAACAATGAAAACCTGAAAATTAAAATAAATAAATAAATAGAGCTGTGATACTAGTTTCAGAGTTTTAAAAAAACACAGCAATTTGTATTTCTAACATCCTCTGTACATCCTGTGGTATTACCATTCATGTGCTCATTGTCCTCTTCTTAATATGACTTCAGTGGAACTTCAGTGGAATTTCCTTTGTTATGAAAATCACAAGCTATGTTTTTGTAGGAGGGAAGTATATAATGTGTTTCTGCACATTTGTTCTTATGTGTGAAGATTTATTGGCACAGTCTTGTTATTTGAGATATGGCAAATTGCTTTCTTTTAATTTCTGCTCCACACCTGTGAAAGAATATTCACAATAAATAATGTTCATAATTTTATCTGAACTATCATAAGTGAACTTTCAGCATCAGTAGCCCAGCAGTATAGGAACATCTTTCACTTTGAAAAGGGTGAAAGCATTTGTTGCCTAGGCTGGTTCCTTCCTTGTAAACCACATTTTATTTGAAAGCAGCATCACATTCACACAGGTTCTAGTCTCTGATATGGAACATTCTATTCCAGGTACCTAGCTGTCTCTGGTGGAGCCCCTTTGCTGATATTTGGGTAGATTTTGGGGGGTTTGATTTGGAAAATGTGTAGTTGTTCTTTGGACTTTTTTCAGTTATAAAAAGGTGTTGCTCAAATATTTGAATACTCATACACAGGAGTGTAGGAAAAAAGATTTTTAAAATTTTTATTTCATAAACCATTCTTATATGGAGTCCACAAATATAGCCTGGTTTACAACTCCACTTGCATTTGTGTTCCTTACAGATTTTCTTACCTTTCATTTCAGGAGAAGGGCCATAGGTCTGTTGTAGAGCATGCGTTTGCATGCAAAAGGTTCCAGGTTGAAATCCTAGTATTGTCTGTTGGGGCTGGGAAAGCCTTCTCTCTGAAACCTTGGAGATATGATGCTAGTCAGTGTAGGTGCTATTTAGCTAGATGGCCCAGTGGTCTGACTTGGTATAAGACATTTTCCCATGTTTCTTCTTAAGGTCTGCATCATGTGCAAAGTGAAGAGCTGGGAATTTCTCTCACTTGACCTAGAACTATGAATATGGCATGAAAAAGTTAGTATCTATTTTCATATTTGTCAAGTACAAGGGAGTAAGCATTTTGTGTGCATGAAGAGAAAAGGGTAAGGAGGTGGGGGTCTAAACGTGTTTATGCTGTGTTTTGGAGAAGAAAAAAGTATAAAATATTCATGATATTTGGTAGGATCAACTGTGTCATGTGTGAGAGCTTGGGATAAGAAATACAAGCTATTGGACAGTTTTCTGCAAGACAATCAGTGGCTCTTGCTCCAGGCAAGTAGATTTAGGGACACCTATTCTTTATCAATAACAGTGCTACTGATAGCCAAACAGGTACTGTCACATCTGGACTATCATAGTCTATTTCACTGAAAGTCAAGTGTTGGATTTAAATATATTTG